TACAGGCTCTCTTATCTTTTTAAGTGGGAGAACTTGCACAATTGGTGGCTGACTAAATACTTTTTTGCCCCACTGTATAATCAGAAAAAAAGAAAAAGAAGATGACATTTTCTCCTGTAAATAGATGTACATGTTTGCCCAAAACTCTACTCTTTGTACTTAAGATTGGTATTTAATTGTCTTCCACCCAAGACGAATGACGTGGAGCATGGTGTGAAACATGAAGTCTTGCAAGATGAAGTGTCGCTTAATGGAAAATTCTCAGCGGCAGAAGCAACTCCCCAGGATTTATCTGCGGATGAACTAGAACGTTTTATGATACCAGGGATCAACATTCAATCAATCATTCTGGATTTTTCACCAGTGAACTTTGTGGATTCAGTTGGAGCAAAAACCCTTCAATCAGTATGTACTACCAGTTTTGATCACTCTTTCTGACAATAAAGTATCTGCTTAATTTTGTGCTATTTCATGTACACAGAGGAGAGATGAGCTAAGTTAAGATACTTCACTGTAGGAAGACCTCTTGCACAGTTCCCATTTGTTCCCAATGGGATTACACAAAAGTGCTTATGACTGTATTTGTTCAGTATCTTTTTTTGGGGTCTCCCCAACAGATGTTGTTGTTCCCTTATCTTTAACCACATCTGGAGGGCACAGGGATAAGAAAGACTGCTTGCATTTCCTCTTATTTCTTCTGAATGTTTCTAAGATGACTGGAAATCAACTTTAAGAGGGAATTTTATAGCAAATTTGTAGCTATTGTGCAATGAGCTTTGATAGGCCCACAAATATTAACTGAAAGTTATTTTCCTTCACTGTTGCAGATTATAAAAGAATATCAAGAAATTGGTATTTCAGTCTATATAACTGCCTGCAATGGTAAGTTGGAGAGGAAGGGTGGGTTTAACTTTCCTACAGTCATTAGGACATTAATGTTCTTTCTAGTCTTCCCCAACTTGATGTCTTCCAAAAATGCTAGACTTAAATTCCTACCTAGCCAATATGATGGGTGGCACATTCTTTAACACACCAAGTGAGCTCCTATAACAGACCAAGAAAGATGTGTGATTCCTTGCAGAACTAGGATTATATGAGTAGATGTGTCCATTTCTACTTATAAATGTGTGTCTTACACAAATACTTTGGAAACGTGGAAGCTGTGAGAAAACAAACCTGTTTTAAAGAGAAAAAAATCAGTATTGGACTAAAGTTAAAAATATATGCAAAAGAGAGAGAGAAAGAGAGAGAGGCATACTTTATGGTTTTAAATAAGCAGATGCTTTGGCCAAAAATTAATCTTATTCCCAGTGCTTTAGCCTAGTGCAGAACAGGAGCTCATCCACAAACATGTCAAGTTCATGAGCCAAAGAAGGCTTCCTCTTACAGAAATAACCATCAGCACCTCCTGGGGGAACAGAATCGTTCTTGCTCTTGTTTGTGAGAACTGTACTATGTGGCCGTCTTCTGTGTACAGGAATTACAATGATTTGAAATGACACACTGTCTTACCACATAGTCGTTCTTTGATGTAGTTTCATTTGTAGATTAAGGCTGGGTAGCACTATAGGGACTCTTAAATCAATACCTGACTCCTTATACCTTATATACGGCTGGAAGATCTTTTTTCTTTTTTTCCCATTAGGGTCTGTTATGGACAACCTTGCTAGACTGCACTTTTTTGAGAAAGCAGCCCTAAGAGACTTGTTCTTTCCAAGTATTCATGATGCTGTCCTCACCAGTCAGCTGACAGGTCTCTCTTCCTCCTATCTTTAAATGCACTGAGCTGAACTCCTACATCATAAACTATATGGACCTACGTGAACTTCCAAGGGCTCCTGTAGACATTTATTTAATTTGCACAGATTAGACAGAGCCTAAGACTAGCCACTCGTACGGGTATCTGAGTCTGCACCACAACAGCCTGCTCCTTGCCAGCCCTCGGTTTGAGGACTTCGAAGCCTTAATCCTTTCAAACGTCGTACCTTTCCACTGGATTCAAAAGTTGTTGATGGAAACATGGGATAAACGCAAACATTTGTAGAGAACCTGAAGGCTTGTCTATTTTGGTGCATATGTGTTGCAGTTTTTGTGGTTGTGGTTGAGTAACAGGTCAGGAAAATATTAATGCACTTTGTTATTTCTTTTTAACACAGTGTATTCCTGGCAAGAATTGGGATGATTGTTGAATGGAGCAGTGTGTGTGTGTGTGTGTGTGAGAGAGAGAGAATGATTGCTCCTCTCACTAGAAAATGTCAACTGCATTTCCAGATTTTCAGTGCAGAAATCATTGGTTTTTCATCTGATGACTACTAAGACAAGCATGAGCCTATGGTTTTGTAACAGTTTCTTTTTGAACCATGAGCTCTTTAGCTCTATTTTTTAAATTATTATGATGACTCAAGAGTAATAGATCATTTTCACATTGAGAAAGTTACTGTACTGACCCAATGCTAATCTTAAGTAAGGTATATTTAAAGTTAGCTGGGAATGAACAAAAGACAATACATAATGCAGCTAGACTAGGGAAGAGAAAACAAACCCTAGCACCCAGGTTAACAGGCCCAAATCCACTTTTTACAACTCAAGTTAGCTAAGTTTAGTTACTACAAGCTCACCATAAGTAGTCTTGAAGAGAAGAAATGGAGAAATGACATTTCCCAAGGTACGGGATTGTATTTGTTATATTTTCTATGCTCTGACGCGTTTTTAACTAAGTCACAAAAATACTGTTCCAAAAATCTCACATCGCTCGACTCCTGAGGAAATTGGTTTCTTGAGACTGTTTCCAGAGCGATGCGGGATCAGCGAACAAGCATAGCAATGTGTGTCCTGTTTTCCAGCAGATGGTTGCAGAGGGACAATCTGTTTTGTTCACTAGAATGCAGCTGGATGTCCTATGCAGCTTCATTTCAATAGTGCTTCCTCTCAGGTAGGTATATACAGGGTTGCGATACTTCTACTACGATGCACCCGAAAATAAACACTTTTAGTGGGGGAATTGATCACAGGCTTTAATTCCTCCGACTGTACGTTATAGGCCTTAAGCATCCGGGGTTTTTTCCCCCTGCCTTTCCACTAATGTTGCCAAACTGCTGTTGCCCTGTGCTAGAGTATTATTGTTAAACAAACAGGCTTTTCTTCCGTGCATTTAAACCAGAGAATATTGGTATATCTATTAAAGGCTGTTCACAAACATTTCTTTGTATCTGCAATCCTGGTCCAAGCCTGTAATGTTGGTAGCAGAAGGCTTGTCCATCAAAAGCAGTTTCATTTAGCATCAGTTTACAAACTTCATTGGTTATCTAGCATATACAGGTTTCTAGAAATAGAATTTGAGCCATTCAGTTCCCCCCCACCCTTTAGCAGAGTTGCTTCTTAGCGATGTTGTACAAAGGATATATAACTCCCATATCCTGCCTGTTTTCCCATGTTATATTTAAGGGAAGTAGCCTTTTGCAGTATTTGTGAATTGCTAGACTTAGAATGCACTGTGAATATACAGGTAATAATTCTGATATATTTGCAACATACATCTTGACTTTTTGTGTGTTTGTCTGCTTTTAGGACAATATATTCTATCAACCACCTGCTTACGGTGAAGCCCTGTTGCTTTTTATAACCAAACGTTTCTTTCAAATATGAGTCAAAAGTTAAACTTCTAAATAAACGTCAGAAGATAAATCTTGAAATTTCACTGATGGTTAACTTTGCTTTACACGGCCTTTTCCCCTCCTTTTTCCTATTGCTAATGTAATCAATTTTTTTATGGCCCAAACTGTGGTCATTATGTCTTATTTACCTGCCCATGTTTTTAATTCTAGTTGTTCCAAAGGAGTGCACAACAGAGCAACTTTTAAATAACTCCCATTAGGCCTTGCCCCCCTACATTACCTCAGAGTAGAAGGTTTTTCTCTAAGCCACAGCAAAACTTCCACCTAACTTGCTACCTAAATGGTGAAAATCAAAATCCGTTGGATCCTTCTACTTCCATCTCTATATAAAATTTAAGCAGAATACAGCATGTGTAAGTTGAATAGCAACTTTTTCCGTGGTGGCATTTTAGGGCTAACCTCCTGTATAATTAAGAATCCTTTTTTTCCCCTTTTTGAAACATATTATTTATTAAGGTTAATGAAATGGAAAATGCATTTTGTTCCAAGAGCGGGACAACACAGCCCCACTTGCAGGGGTACCTGCAAGGGGGAGGCGGGTTCAGAAAGTGGCCGCAACTCTGTCTTTACCCTAGACCTCTTTCATTGTTCCAAATGAACTGTATTCAAATGGAACAAAACTAGGAATGTTTCAGGTGTTCCTGTTACTGGAAACAATGAAGATCACTTTTGTTCTGGAAATTTTATTTCCTGAAAATTAGCAGAATACCCCAAAAGGGCTGGCTTAGTCATTACGGTGTTTCTCAGCATGTTCCATCCACGAACAATAGATTTTGCTGATTCTTAATAATAGCTACTGCACGGGAGAAGAGGTTCTGTGCAGGGTGGTGGGGTGTGTGCTCCATAGCATGTAGTTCCCCAAAAATAGAGCAGCATGGAATTAAAATATAGCCGTCATGAACGGGTCAGTCATGAACCATCTTGCTCAGCAAAACCAGTCTTTTTAGACTTGAAGTGATCTGGGCCAACAAACCTGTAGCAGCCTAGGCCAAATCAAGTTCAAACACCTTTGAAGCAAAATGCGTCATGAAGCACACCAACAGTAAACGGGGGGGGGGGGGGGGGGGATGAGAATAATGAACAAATACTGAAAAGTTCAACAGCAGAGAGCCTCTGAATTGTTAAATGGCCTTTGACAAGAGGTTGCACAGAGAGCTCAACAAGTCAATCAAATATGACTTTAAGGTTAGCCTTTGTTCTTTAAACAGCCAGTGCTTAACCATTCAATTAAGCCAAACCAGGATAGCAATCTTTTGGAAAACACTACGTGGTTGAGCCTTTTAGGGAGGGAACGTGCATGCTCTGTTGTCCTGTTGCTTGTCCTTTGAAGGTGAAGACTCACAGCATTGTTAAAGGCACTCTGAGCAAGTCACAGGAACATATCAATGGCCCTCTCCAAGCCCAATGACTTGACTTTGCATTTACCATCATCACAGCACATCCAACACTTACATGTGAATGGAAGTAGAGTAGGGTGTGCACATGGCTGCCTTTGATATCCAGAGCATCCTATCATCAATTACCTGTTTTCTTTCCCAGGCTACCAAAAATAAACTCAGCCCACAAAGTCCCATTTCCCTAAAGCAAAAACTTTTCTTTCAGAAAAGCAGTAGCTTCCTTTCCAGGGGGTCAGACAATGGCATAAGAGGATCTGTGTGGGGTGATATTGCCTTCTATCTGAATTATGCGCATTACACAGCCAGAACGTCGCTCCATGTGCCACGTGCAGTAGGTGCGAAGTGTGCATCTACTGACCTGCTCAGATGCGTGATTGTTGGTCATATATGAAGATTCTGGAGCAGGTCTGAGGAACACAGAAGGCCGTGCAGAGAAGCAGGACGAATTCTGCTACAACCCAGATGATGCAGAGTTATAGAAACCTGTCTTCTCCCCTAGCCCAGTACTCAGATACTGCTCAGGGAAAAGTGTATCGTCCATACATCACTGATGCCAGCTTTTCACTGCAACTTCAGGCAGCACTGGGGACGCTGCCAAAGTCCCATCTCAGGGCTTGGGGTCTGTGAGGGTTTGGACAGGAAGGAACAGGTTGAAACGGATCCCAAAGAACATGGAGGAAGTTGAGGAAATTGAACCCAAGAACATAGAGTTGCTGTTTGTATGTTGGGGTTCTCTTTTGACACCGATTCTGCTAGATGAGGAGGCACTGCCAACCTTCCCCAATGGTTTGTATGTTGAATTCCCAGAATTCTGGGAGTTGGAGTCCACACAGCTTAAAGGTGCCAAGGTTGAAAAAACACTGGTTTAGGCTATATTACATAAAGAATAGAGACGTCACCACGGAGGCATAAACACAGGTCAGGATCTGATATAATAAGCGTTAAGCTAATCCTACATTTTGAAATCATGCAAACCTTAAGGACAAAATGATTTAATATTGGATGGCACTGTGTGGTAGAGTGCAACAAAATGGATTAGACATAGAAAAGTGGTAGATAATATTAGCTCAGTTCGTTTTGCAATGAGATGCTATTTTAAAATATTGAGAACAGAAATGGGTTACCTACAGCTACAGAGAAATCAGAGTTTAAACGCAGCTGCCTTTACTTTTTATTCTTGATTTTTATGTTCTATTGATTTGATTATAATACCTTTGTTTGATTGTTATGAACCTCTGAGTCGGGCAGCATACTGTACAAGTTTAATACATTATTAGTAGTAGTACTTGCACATACGGACTCCTTCCACCAAATAAATAAATAATTTTTTTTTTTTTAAATGGAGCGGCTGGAACCTGAAGCATTTCATCCTGCGATATTTGATGAGAGGATCCTATTTGTCATTTTTATACAGCCAATTCATTCATTTTTGAATGGTGATAAATCATCTATAAGCGTACGTTGGCCTTCTACTGCATCATCCCCTGCTTATAATAAAGACACTAACCAGCAGTACAATACCTTAACTTCTCATTTTAACGTTCTTTTCTCTTTTTTAAAAACTAATTCCACTGCGCAGCATTCCTAGATGCTCAGCCCTAGTCCTCCAACCAGCTGGAAGAAACCATCTCACGGAGCAGTTGCTCATGTCTAGGGACCTGTGGACCAAGGTACTACTGTGCTCTTCTCAAAGGTGTTCCTGACCCAAAGCTTAACCTAAACAGGGTGAAGAGATTTACATTTGATTTAGAAAGGATTAAATAAAAAACAAGAAGCATAAATGTTTAGAGTTGAATTGGATTTCACAATCTTTACTTGAATATCACAATGAAGCTGAACGTTTATGCCTTCAGGAACAACCACCATGTAAGTCGGAATGTTCTTTTTACTTCTACTAGTCCAGCTACGTTACAGCACACCACAGAAACAAACTATTCTTCTTGGGGGTTCTCTGAGAGATCCTGGGTTAGTTGTAAGTCATGTATCGAGGAGTGGCACTGAACTTGGCATAGGACTTGATGACTTTGTTCACAGCATCCAGGAAGTCTTTCTCAGTGGCAATTTTTCGCCTTGCTCTGATAGCAAACATACCTGCCTCTGTACAGACACTGCGAATTTCAGCACCTGCGGGGGGTGGAGTGGGGTGGAGGAACAAAAATGGATTTAAAAACAATGTGAAGCATGGCAACAAAGCATGAGGGAGAGAAATCCAAAAAAAATCTACAATGTTTAACTTACCAGTGCTATTAGGACACAGTCGAGCTAGCAACTCAAATCTTATGTCTCTTTCAACGCTCATTGAACGAGCGTGTATTTTGAATATGTGAGTTCTTCCCTAGAGAAAATAAGAATCAGGCTCTGGTTATGACAGGCATACAAGAAATAAGTCAGATAGTTTAGCAAACGCGAGTTCCCATAAGGACTGGCTTTCAAGAGGACTCCAGGCTCACATCAAGAACACCTGCCCTGCTCTTCCTAAGAAAGGCAAGACAGATCAGCTTTGAGCATGCCAATGGGTACAAGTGAGGAACAGAGAACAGATGAAGTGTGGGTAGGGATGAATGAGTGTAGGGGTAAGAGAACGGATGGACTATGTGTGGAACAAGAGAAGACACATTCTACTCTCACTGCCTCATACTTGCACAAGATTCTTAAGAAGAGAAGGAGGGAGAGAGAGAGAGAAAAGGGCTTGGTCAAGCTCAACCCACTCTAACCTAGCATGTAACACCCCCCCCCCAATTAATCTGAGGAAATCTGATCCTCAAAAGAAAAAAATTACAAACTTGCTAGAGAAATTATGTTTGGTCTAATTTGCTCTTTTAAGTGGTACACAGTTCAGAGATGTAATATGAAAAGTCTCTTTTCAATAAAAGTCACTCAGTTCTAATAAATACGCCAACACATTCATCACCACCACCATTAGCACCGTTATTTTGAAATAAAAGCATTCTAAACCTCTAGATCTGGTAGGCTAAATTCAATCTTCCTATCTAATCTTCCAGGCCTCATCAATGCAGGATCCAAGGTATCAGGTCTGTTAGTTGCCATCAAGACTTTAATATTCCCTCTTGGATCAAAGCCATCAAGTTGGTTGATCAATTCCAGCATTGTGCGCTGGACTTCATTGTCTCCTCCAGCCCCATCATCAAAGCGAGCACCTAATAAAGAAACAAGTAGTTCAGAACTGTGTGTTGACTGAAGATGCTGACTAAGATCCAGGCATGGTTTTGATCCCACTGTCAACACTGACTACTTACACTGGTATTTTGCAAATAAATTAAGAGTAAATCAAAACAAGATGTCAATATTCAGAAAAAAGAGCTTCTTGGGAAGGAAGCAGAGTTTTATTTCCATTATAAAAAAAAAGATTCATAGTTAATGTTATATGAAGCATTAAAGAAATATATGCGTATCAAGACGAACCTCCAATAGCATCAATTTCATCAAAGAAGATAAGGCATGCCTTTTTAGTCCTGGCCATTTCAAACAGCTCCCGAACCATTCGAGCACCCTATTAAACCAAACAGAAGGAAAAAGTAACTATTTTTTCTTCTGTGAGCTAATCTGTTATACCACTTGGCTGGCTGGGGAATTCTGGGAGTTGAAGTCCACACAACTTACAAGTTGCCAAGGTTAAGAAACACTGCTCTAGTTGAACCAAGAGAACAGCCTGAGTTCAAAATGATTTACACACATGAAACTGTACTGGTTGCAAACCTTTCAACACCCATTACCCAACATACAGTCTTTCATGTAACCTTACATAATGAATAGGGTTTTGAATCTACATGCTCAAAGACTGTCATTGGCATGAGCTCTCAGTGTTCCTCATCCAGTCATACAATAGAGCAGCAAAGGGGCAGGGAAAATCCATGAAAATGGAATCACAAACATGCCATTAATAGGGAGCCTGCAACATTATGCACCCAAGAGCCAACAGGAAGACTCCGACAATCTAGAGAGAAGCCACCCAAGAAAACAACAGAATCTAGGTTGCAAGATGTTCCCCAACATTACCTCTCCCACATATTTCTGCACCAGCTCAGACCCAATCACTCGGATGAAGCAGGCATCGGTCCTATTAGCAACAGCTCGAGCACAAAGAGTTTTGCCTGTCCCAGGCGGGCCAAACAGAAGTACTCCTTTGGGGGGTTCAATCCCAAGATTGACAAATCGTTCTGGCTATAAATGTAGGGAGAGAGAGAGAACAAAAAACTGGGATTAAAATCTCTAGAACTGTCACGATCCCATCACTGACTTCTAGCAGCAAGCACACTGGAGCAAAGAGCTTGTCAGAAGGAGCCAAAGACTGCCATAAGGTTATAATTCAAAAGCTATCAATGAATGATCATGAACCTATTCCATTTTTAAAGAAACAGAGAACCAACTGAGGGCCCAAAGGATACCCCAGGAGTTGACAAAAATTTTATGTAGTACAGTAGTAACAAAATAAATGATCCAATGCCAACCGGTACTCATTAAAACTTCAACATTCCAAGTATATGCAATTTTGTGCACTGCAGATGTTTTAGATTTCAGTTCCCCCCAGTATAACATGGATTGTGCAAACCGTACTCCCAAATATCTGGGGTCTCCTTTTTTGTTCCTGTAAAAACTCTGGCAAGTTAAAGAAAGAAAAGGATAACCACAGGCAGCTTATTAGCTCCTTACATTGTTTGCTGATAATGACATTTGGTCTGTTCTCCTAGCAAACCAAGATCAGAAGCCTGCAACAAACCATGGCATCCGAACCTGTCTTGTTTTAGGAGAGGAACAAGCCACAGTGCCTTATTCAGATGCCCAATAAACAAACTACAGAAGGCACGTCCACAATTTATGTCCTTCTGCTGCCAAAAGCAAAGTCTACAGCATGCTGTTTGTTTATGATTAAATGCAAACACGTGATACTTACGTGAAGCAAGGGAGTTTCCACCACCTCTCTCAGCTTCTCAATTTGCTCTTTGCATCCTCCCACATCGCTGTATGTAACATCAGGTTTTTCCTCCACCTGTGTGACCAAACAGATGTCCATACATATGTAAAATTAGAAGTTCCTTCTATGAAATAAAATAGCCAATTAGAATAGTTAGAGATAGCAAGAAGAATTAAGAGATGTCTTCACCTGCATCATAGTGACAGTCGGGTCAATCTTTGGAGGTAGGGGGATGTGGATCTGATATTTGTTTCTGTCCACACTGCATAAAGAAATTGAAAAGCCTTATTTTGAATATGTCTTTAAAGCACTTCAAAAGCATTCCTCTGACAAGTTAGGAAAGTAGGCTGTGTGCAGAATATTGACATACTAACAGAATAGAGCTGCACAGCAAACCATCTATGATATCAGGATTAGATTTTTCCAGTTTCTGCTATATTCCTCTGCAGTTAAAGCATTTTACAATGGGCTAATACTTCAGAAGAAAGCAAAATAAACGGTCTCCCATATGATGCTTATAGAAATTACTGCCAGTTCTAGCTAGGTGTTGCAATAATTAGTTGGACTGCATTTTTCATCTTAGTGACCATATTAAAGACAGGTGAAAATGACAACTAGTTCAAAGTGTAGCAGTCAGAATCTTAGCTTGGAATGTTCCCCAAAAATCATATAAATCAGACTTTTGAAAATCTGATTTGTTATCAGCTGTATGCTAACTGGAATTGGCTCTTGGCCTTTAAACTTTAAAAGCTGCCTACAGTCATTCATACAGTGAGATGCGTGGTGTACAAATTTGATTTATAAATAAAATAAATAAATAAACTCTTCTCTTCTTTCCCTGACCTGGGCCTCCCTAGGTGCTTTCCGCTACAACTGCCATTATCTTAAATGTGGCATTGGCCATCGTATCTGGAGGGCATTAATTGAGGAAAAGCTGCCCTTCATTACACAGACCCCGCTTATCTGATTAAAAGAAAAAAATACTGGTGAATGAAGGTTTTCCTAGGGAAGCAATAAGATCTGGAGCTTTCTGGAGGACAGCACTCGGACTATGAAACTTTCTGCAGAAAGATTAGAAGTTATTTGCGGACCCTCTCTTTCCTTGCCTTGCAAAGGCTGGTAAAATTGATTATGTTTCTAATGTTTTGGTATAAATTCCTTCCCAAGTTGCCAACATTATTTGAAATGATACAGTCAGTTATGGTTTATAGTATCCCTTTTCTGTAAACCACTGATATTGCCATGCAACAGTTTTATGTAACTTTATGACTTCTAATTCATTTCCAGGCCAGATTTAATTTGTTGCTTAAACCTATAAAACCCAAAGAGCCCACAACCAGGATAACCGAAGAACTGCTTTTTCCCACATGAACCTGCCGATCAACAGAAATTATCTTCAAGAAACATAAAGTAGGCTAAGATGCAGAACAGGACTTTCTCAATAGCAGTACCTCCTAAGGGTTGCTAAACGGACTCCCGCTCTGATGCATTATAGGCAAATAATCAAGGCATTTTTATTTCGCTTATTAATTCCTTGATTTGTTTATTATAGTTTTATATAATCCCCATTGCCATAGGAATCAAGTCAGTTTACAAGACAAGACGATACATATACCAAAACAGTAGCAGACGGCAACTGTTTGTCTATCTACAATGTAGCCCACACCCCACTGGGTTCTAAATGCCCAGCGAAGCAGCAATTTGCAAAACAGGAGTTTGGGGCCATACACATGTTAGACACACTTCGTAATGTGTTAAGATTTGCTTCCTTAGAATGCTTTTGAGAACAAGCACAGGTCCAGATTTTTAAAAAGTGACTCATTTGGTACTTTTACTTTTGACTGGGTCAGACTATCAATCAGGAGGTGGAAAAATGCCTGCTGAAGAATGCAACTACTCGCAATGTTGAAGCTGGTGAAAAGTGAAACTAGTTGTCTACTCTGAAGGCTTGGTTTGCATGTGTATCCCGGGGGGACAAAGGGGCACAAATCAGGGCAGTTACCAAGAAGTCAAGCTCTTAATTTGTTATTGTATTGTTTTCTAATACTTAATTGTAATGAGAATTGTATTCTCAAGTAAAACAAGTAATTTTGGGGAACTGCGATACAATACATAATTAACCCCACAAAGTTATATTTAAAATACAGGTAGTCTCCAGATTAAGAATGCCCAGCTTAAGGACGACCCACAGTTAAGAACGGAGCCCACTGTAGCAAAATTTGAGTTAAATACACAGTGGTTCAAGTTAATTACACAATACTACTTATACAGAATTATACAATAATATTGTTCTGGCTTACATACAAATTGGACTTAAGGACACACCTTGGGAACAGAACTTGTTCTTAACTGGGGGCTACTTGTATATAGAAAATACAATAATTAAAATAAAACAAAACAAAACAAAACTCAACTCAACTCAACTCCGTGGACTTTGTATATTTTAAAATCTATTTTTTTAAATGTCTGATAAAGTTTTTATTCTAATAACAACTTTTTATCTTTTTATAATGCCTGTTTTTATTCGCTTATTTTATTTTAATTGTTGTACGCCGCCCAGAGTCGCTTTGTGTGAGATGGGCAGCTATATAAATGGGATAAATTTATATAAATTTATTTATTTATAAATTTACTGTTGAAGAATCCCAGGGTGATAAAGCATTAGCACCAACTCACCCAACTCTCATTCCTTCTTCAATGTCAGTAGGTGCCACTTGATCACTAAGATCCACCACAAATTTGGCAAATTGTTTAACATTGATAATATACTTCGGGTCCTCAGAATCCGCATTGATTATCTTTGTACACCTAAGTAAAAGAGAAAATGATTCAATAAACAAATCAAGTTTAACCTGCCAGCATTCAGCCAAGTGTGAACCATTTACACTAGTATTATATTTCTACTTTTGCTTGTTAAATAAAAGTAGCTCAAATTTTTTTATGTTGCATTTTATTTCTTCATTAAGAAGATTTTTTTTATTAAGATGAAAATATCAGCAACAACAAAGGAAAGAAATATACATTTAAAAGTGCTTTCAGTGTTATTGCCATTCATCCCATAGATTTCAAAAACCCTAAGATAAGCATAATCAAATTGATTAAACATGTCAGCTTCCACCAGATGCAACAAATGTTGAGGCAAAACATGCATGCAATTAAGAGGTACATAAACATCTTATAGGAAACAGCTCCCTGTGAAGGCCAACATTTTTACCATCACATTGAAATACAAGTAGTCCTTGCTTAATGACCATTCGTTTAGCGACCATTTGAAGTTACGATGGCACTAAAGCAACTTATGACCAGTCCTCGCACTTACAACTACTGCAGCGCCGTGATCATGTGATTGCCATTTGAGACCTTCCCAGCCAACTTTCCACAAGCAAAATCAATGGGGAACTGCATGATTCGCTTAATGACCATGATGATTCACTTAACAACTGCAGCAATTTGCTTAACAACCGCCGCAAATGTCGTAAAATTGGGTGCAGTCATGTGATGCCTTAACTGCCCCACTTAATGATTAATTTTCCAGTCCCTATTGTGGTCATTAAGCAAGGACTACCTGTATAGCCCTGTATACTTTACTGGAAACCTTTAGAAGATCTGAAGGATGAGGCTGGGAATAGATCATCCTGGAGAAATTCTATCTGTGTGGTTGCTAAGAGTCAGTACTGATTTGATGGCACATAATCAATTAATTATACCAGAAAGGTCCCTAAGATAATTTCACTCTTTAACAAGAAGCACGTGTCATGCATGAAGGACTGAACACTATTCATTTTGATAGGGCTTTGCTGCCACAGTGATTGAACAACAAAGTATTATGTACCTGGCCACCTGCAGTGGCTGCTCACTCTGAAGAGTTTGTTTATCGGCAGCTAGATCCCAGAGGGCAGGTGGAGCCAAGCCAGTGTCTGATTCTTTAATGCCTACAAGGGAAAAAAACCCAAGGAGCCATTTTGCCATTCAGATCAACACAGTATATACTCAAGCATTAGCTTACTATAGCAAAGTGCTACTACCAATTCAACTCAAAGGTGACAAAAAGGAAAAAAAACCCCTTCTTTTAAAGTCGGTGTTATCGTAGGGTCAAAAGCAATGGCGTGAGCAGGGGCGTATGAAAAGGGTCAGTCTGAAAAAAGCAGCATATCATAAGCCCTGCCTCTTTATGTAAGTGGTGTGATGTCACTCACACGTCCAAAAGGAGCAGGGTTTGCAGCATGATGCTGCTTTTGTCATCTGGATGAAAGCAGCAGGTGCCTCCAGATGTTCGCAGACAAACACTGTGAAAATCTCACAAGGTGAACAGAAAACATTTTAACACTTCACAAATTATACCCAGAAAAGTAATTCTTTAGTAGAGTTAAACTGGGGTTTTCCAAATCCTAACCCTTGCTCTTAACTATTGGATCACCCCAGTTTTCCACGGAGATTCTTGCTGTCTTTTTTCCAAGGCAACGCCAACATTCCCAAGACTACATTTAAGCACCTTCTCTTTATCTGATTCCACCTTCTCTACTTCCCCTTTTTTCTCAGTTGAAGAAATACTTTCATTTCTTTCCTTCTGCTTAATCTCCCTTCCGCTTCTGAGGTTTTCTGGGGAATTACCACAAATGATAGAATAACCCTGAACTACACCTCTTAGGAAATTCAGCACTCTGAACAGTCAAGGCCAGCATCAGACAGATCACTGCCTCTAAAGCTAAAAGAAAAAAGTACCTGTGAGTTCATTAATTTTCTTAAGTAACTGTTGAATGTCATCTTCTACTTGTTTGATTTGCCTTGAGTATGTGCTCTGGCCCTGGATTTGAAAAAGATTACAGACTGAGGAAATCAAGAAATATTTGTGTTACTGCAGCCTTAAACAATCTATCCAAATTTCTGTGATTCAGGCCTAACAGCCTTATCAAGCTGATCACTGGCTAACCCTGGTCAATTGCAAGTGGCTCTTTCCCAGCTTTTGACACTCAATGCTAATGAATAAAGTTGAGCCCCCCCTACACTGGAATCAAGCACTGCATGATTGAGCTACAGTCCAATGTTTATTTACATTATAAACATTAAACGAAGTAGGGCTTATCATGTTTATATGCCCTACTTTGTTTCGCATATAAACTTAAGAACATGATCACGTAACATTTTCTTGCAGGCAATATCAAAAAGAGATAATCAACTCATTCGGAAGCTAAAACACATAGAGCTAGAAAGGTGAATACATCTTTGGTGCAAACATCTTCACTAAAACTGCACATGCCTTTGCAGATAAGAAGTTACCATTGAGAGGATGCAACACCATGGTGAGTTTTACCCCTTTCTGTGGTGCCTGAACAGGGCTCTGGTATTAGTCTCATCTGAACAATTTGTAAAGAAAAGCAGTGTTGTGTGGTAGATAAGTTCTGCTATCCAGAATGAAAAGACTGTATTCATTCCACATTCACCAGGAGATGTATTTAGATTTCACGGATTAAACAGAAACCTATGTTTCTGATCACACGACATCCAGTAATTAATTCACTGCAAGAATGTTTGAGCCATATTTAATTACTTCTTTGGTAAAAGACTCTGTCTACAGGTAACTCTGTCTCTTCTTTTAACTCCATTCTCTTTCTCCCTCCAACTGCAACTGTGTATACAGTCAGGTCCAGAAATATTGGGACATTGACACAATTCTAACATCTTTGGCTCTAT